CCATCAATACTCTCCTCCACTCGGCTGAGTGTGTTCTCACTTTAAATAATTTCTCCTTTACCTCATCTCACTTTCTTCAAGTAATAGATATGGTTATAAGGGTACCCGCACATGTCCCTGTTAAGTCAGATTCTCAAAAGGGCATGTGAAACATTACTTCATTCAGTCCTACTTGGAGTCCCCTCCCACAACTCTTTTTCCCATACATCAATAATTGCATCGATGTTGTTTCCTGCATTGTATGGAATTGGAAATTTTCTTCCAATTTCCATCCTTTTCTTACTTTCACCTGGCCCATCTTTGACTCTTCCTTACTTTCCTTGATTTTTCAGACCCCATTTCAAGAGATAGGCTGTCCACTAATGTACAATAGAAACTCACCAACTCCCACAATTACCTGACCACATTTCCTTATCCTGCTTCCCTTAAAGATTCCATTCCATTCTCTTAGCTTCTCCATCTCGGGCACATCCAACATGATGACACCTTCAACAGGAGTGCTACTGACATGTCTTCCTTTTCTCTCAATTGTGTATTCCTTTCTACAATGGCTGACGGAGCCCTCATTCATGGCCAACCTAGATCCTGTACTTCTGTACTTACTTCTTCCGGTCTCTTCCTGAAAAGCTACAGGGCTCTCACTTTCACCCCAATAGCTTCCTCATTCAAAAGGACCATACTTTGCCATTTTTGTCACCTCCAGCAGGATGTCACCAAACACATCATCCCTCCCTACTCTGTCAGTCCTCCACGGAAACTATTCCCTCCATGACAACCTGATACACTTCCTGTCATTATCAACACCTCTTCATCCATCTGTCAATGGCACATTCCCATGCAGAAAGTGCCTCACTTGCCCTTTAATCTCATCCATTTTCACTGTCCAAAGCTCAAACGCCCCTTCTGTGTGAAGCAGTGATTTATTTGCACTTCTTTCAATATGTTCTACTACATTCACTGCTGACAATGCATTCCTTTCCACATTGGCAAGAACAAATTCAGCCCAGTTTGCAAAACATCTCCATTCTATTTAAAAGAACGATCCTGACATTCCAGTCGCTTACTATTTCAATATACCACCTTGTTCTCAGATTAAGATTTCTGATCTAGGCCCGTTACAATGTTCCAGCAAAGTTGGAGGAACACCACTTCATTTTCCACTTAGGCACGTACAGCCTTCAGGACTCAACACTGAATTCAACAACTACAGGCTATGAACATTTTGTTGTCTATTTTGATTCTCCTTCCACGAGTGTCTTACTGAAATGTGTTGGCTTTGGTCAAGCTGACTTATTGTCTGCTATTAACACCTGCCACTATTAGATAATCTTCATCTATATCTTTCCTCAACTATCACGAGCACTTTCTTTTTTTGCAATGGGGTACCTTTACCATCTAGTCCACTTGCTCTCCCCACAACATAACCCATAAAGTTCAGACTCCTTCAATTCTGAAAAAGTGTTATGCGGACTCAAAACGTTAACTCTGTTTTTCTTTCATTTTATTTCAACATCCTTTGTGCTAGATACGACTCCAAGCAGCACAGAATTTTCCCCAGATTGCAGTCTTACTGCGGTTCCTTAATGCTACATGTGTCAAATGCTGTCTTGGTGTCAAATATAGTCAATTTCGCCTAAGACAAATAATATCATAAGAAAGAAGAACAGGAGTAGGCCATTGGCCCCTCAAGCCTGCTCTGTCATGCAATTGGGTCAATCAAATCCAACACCCCTCATGCCCACTTTCCTGTCCTTACCCTGCCTTGAATATACACAAGCACTCTGTCCCCACGAGTCACTGTGGCAAGAAGAGCCAAGGACACACACTCAAAGAAGAAATTCTCCTCATCAGAGTCTGAAATTGGTGACCTTTTATTCTGAGACAATGCTCTCTGCTCCCAGACTCTCCCATGAGGGAAAACATCCTCTCAGCATTTACGTTGTCAAACTTAAGAATCCTAAATAAAAACCGAAAGAACTGCAGATACTGTAAGTCAGAAACAAATACAGAAATTGCTGCAAAAGCTCAGCAGGTCTGGCAACATCTATGAAGAGAAATCAGAGTTAACGTTTCGGGTTTGGTGATCAGTTTTAAGGAAGAGCCATCAGACCCGAAACACTAACTCTGATTTCTTTTTAAAGATGCTACCAGACCTGCTGAGCTTTTCCAGCAACTTCTGTTTTTGTCCCTTAAGAATCCTGTATGTATCAATGAGATCACCTTTCATTCTTCTAAAATCCAATGAGTTGAATCCCAACCTGTTTAATCTTTGCTTGTAAGACAATTCTTGCATAGCAGGGATCATCTTAGTGAGCATTCTCTGAACTGCCTATAATGAAGTAATATTTCCTTAAATAAGGGGGGCTGAAACTGCTTAAAGTATTCCAGATATGGTCTCACCAGAACCTTGTACAGTTGCAGCAAAACTTCCTACTCTTGTACTCCAACCCGCTTGAAATAAGGATCTCACCTCTGGAGTTCAGGTTATTTGTCCACATTTGGAGCAAGGCTGTAATGAGGTCAGGAGCTGAATGGCTCCTATGGAACTCAAACTCACATTAGCGAACAAGTTATTACTGAACATGCTGAAAAACAATTCTGCACACACTTAATATCTCCGTACATTGGCACTATGTGTCATCTCCTCAAAATTGCATGGGAAGCCTCTACATTGTGTCGGCATGGCAGCAAATAGATGTTAACAGAAAGTGAACTATAAAACAACAGCAATGTGGTCAACTCTTAACTGCCCTTTGAAATTGGTCCAGCAAGCCAATCAGTTCAAGAGCAATTAGGGACAGGCAACAAATGCTGACCTTGTCAACAATACCCACATCCCATGTAAGCATAAGTAACCAAAAGGCTAAAACTATTACAGGAATGCAACGTCATTCATACAAGATGTAAGGAATTTATTTATCAATTTTTTTAAAATATTCTTGTGTTTTGAATTTAGACATGATGCAAAAAACTTGAGCTATTAATTCAAATCTTTTTCTTCTTCTACAAAATTGTGCCACTATGTTATTAGATTTTACATGTGCAAGAATTATCAAGCAAAGTAAAGTTATGGCAAATACCTTGCAAATACTCTACAGAACTAAAGGGCAAAAATCTACCAGGAACAGTACAGTCTGTAAATTAAATTATAAAGAGGTAAGTATTGGAGGATGTGAGAATTTACTACGCACACACTAGGTGAAGAGTTTATAAAAACCTGTTTTTCCGAAACAATTGTGCTTAAAGTCAAACATTTTACCATAAATACAGGCTGTCTTGGCAAGATCTGCAGAACTGCAGTTACAATGATAATAAATATTAATATGCTGTGCAGAAAACAGCCAAATTACTGAATATCTCAAGCTTTCTAGTGATCTTCCAAAGAAAAGAAAGCCATCTGATTTAGTGATGAAGAGGAAGCTGCACCTCCATGAAACATGCAAGAGACTTGACAGTGGCAGAAGTTTACATGAACGTCTAGTACAGTTAATGAACAGAGACAAAATATGACTCACCCCGCAATGCCCCCAATAATGTTCAGTTAATTGCTACTATTGCCACGTTCAGAAATGTAAATGGATTGCACTGAAGCTTCACAGAACAATTTATATTCAGTTGAATTTAAAAAGTCAAGAAACATTTAGGAAACACACTTCTTTTACTGATATTTTATTTAAAATACTTTGAAAGTTTATATTCTATTATTTAATATAAAATCAAAATTTCTACTTTGACCATGCTTAATTAATACAATGGTTAACTTGCTTTATTCATATGTTTGTAGCTCTGACATTTCCCTCAGTTATAGCAATTGAAAAAAAATGTTAAATTCCCTATTTAATTTCAACAGAATGCTATTTGTTCGTTCAACAGTTTTAAACTGTGTGCCCATTATTACCAAATGAGTAGTACAAAAGTACCATTTAAAACTACTGAAACGAAAACCAGTCAACATACAGTTAAAAACCCTGCTATTTAAAAACCAACTGAACCACCTGTTTATTGAAGTACAGACAAGTCACAAGTGATTTCGTTCATATTGCCCTCATGATCTTGTTTTAATGAAAAATAAATTGACTTCAGCAATAAGTGTTAACAGGAAACACTGCTACTCTCTAAAACAGGATAACGCTGCACTCTGAACTTCGTGATGTACAAATTTAGTCAGAGTAAAGCTTTTCCATCAGATATTTTCAACCTTACCTGAATATGGGGGATGGGAGGACACTACACATTGTCAGTAATCCGACATAACACTGAGTGTTGCTTCTGCACAAACTGCAAGGTATCAACATAGTAACAGAATATTATAGCCCTGCCTTTATATTGCATTGTATTTAGATTTATTGGTCTTGGGCCTTGACACCATATTTTAACTCTGAAAAACATAATTCATCCTATTTAACATGCTAATCAAGACTACAGTGAATTAAAATGATGGAAGCTGGATTAACTGTTTGTTTTAAAAGCTGTGCTGGCAACGTTAAGAAGCTTAAGTTTCCATAGCTAAAAATATCTCAATATTCTTAGCTTTGGCATACCTCTAAAAGAAGTATGGTATCACATAGCTATCTAGTGCTGACAGATAACTACCACGTGCTGAATAAACAGATTCCAAAAATAACCATGCTCAAAAACATATATTTAGAACTATTTAAAATTCATGCCAATATTGAAGTGCTGAAAACAGACAAAATCCATGAATCTTTCACGATCCATCTTTTAAGAAGAAACTAAAAAAATTTGCATGCAACGCAGTAATGAATTCATTATTGTGATTCTAAGTTACCCAAACTTATTTCAAATATTGTAGTTCATAAACATTATAAGAAGTTGTTCATCTAAATATTTTTAAATGTTACATATTTAATGATGCAAGAATTCTATGGGATAGAAAAGAATCCTGTACCTAAATTCCTCAGTTTAATAGTTTAAAAAATTGCATTTGAAGTAATTTGCAGATGCTGGGATACTAACAGCAATTGAATTACTTCGCTTACCTGATGTTGGCATAGTGTGCATTCGACTTTGTGGCAACAATTCTAGGGGCTGCTCTTGTCCAGATACACCATCTGAGGAAAAACATGATTCAGTTTCATAAATAGTCTGCAACATCTTTTTAAGTCCAGGCACTTTGGGCTTCAGTAACATGACAAAGTCATCAAATACAGAATAATTTTCAAATCTTCTTTTACAGACAACTTTTACAAACTTTTAAGCTGTTGAGTGTTGTTTTATCCTTTAAATCCTGTTGCTGAAGGCTGTGTAGAAAAATCTCCAGTTCCTTTTTAACACAGTCAAGCCTGGTGAAATGCACAGCGGAACAAACATCCTGAATTAGCGTTGTGATTTTCAATCCAACAACAAATATTCAGTCATCTTCCTTTTAGCAAGGCATTAATGAGACAACATGCAACATTGTGGTTAGATAGGGAAAGTCTTTTACCAAAAAGCAACCTTAATACACAGACAGGCACAGTTCAGTAAGAAAATATTAATCCTCTCACTAGCAATGAAAGTAAGCAACCCTACAATCTGCCTACTGCATTAAAGGCAAACATATTTACATAAAAGTCAACAATAATACAGCCTGAAGCGTACCGAAATAGAATATCAGGAGGAGCCAGCTATAAATAGGTCATGCACGCTCTGGGAACGAGGAACATTCACACAAACATAGACAACCAATCAGCTGCTTTAAAATATGATTTCCTAGCTCGTGAACATTTTAACTCCATGTATGTTACTGCCAAGAGTAGTTAAATGCTACTGTATATTCAGCTTAAATACAATGAGATAACAAAGATTGTATGGAAACATAATAGAGAGCAAAAGATTCACACCAACTGCAACCTCAAGGCTTTCAAAAAGTTTTTTCAGTCATATGACATTCTTAAAAAAAGTTGGTTCACAAGTAATTGATAATCAGATCAAAACAGCAATTTTGAAATAATCCTTATTTTAAACCTCTCAATTTGTGAAGAGGTTTTGCAACAATGTCATATTGCACATTGATTTTTCATCTACCCTGTTCAATCTTAAAAATTTAAACTTTAAGCATTCATGACAGTTTAAACTGGATGGGAGATTGTAGATTTCTTTGATCTTTTTCATAAAAGTAATGACAGATAAATTCAGAAAGAGGACTGAGGACAAATTACCTGCTTGGCTCATTTACATTTACTAAGGCAAACATTCTTGCGGGGACAACTAAAGTCTATATCATCCCTACTGTGCCAGTACCTTTATTGGAAAACACTCAAATTAAAAATCTGATGTATAGTATTGATCACAAAGCAATGGGCATTTTCTCTTAGTGACTGAAGAGTAGAAGTCAAGTAGCATAATTAAAAGAAATACTTCTAATTCAATGAGAGCAGCTTTTAAAATTCCTGACTTAAGTTCAATTTGGTTAACCATTCAGCTATGGTGAAATTAGTCTTCCTTCCAAAACTTTACTTTCACGTTCAATATACCAATGCTTGATTCTATGAATATTAACTTAATTATTATTTTTGTTCAGCTTTCGAATGCATCTCAAAAAAAGTGAGTACAGCTTGCATTTACTCATTTTAATTTGTCTGAGAAAGACAACAAATTAAGAAAGTAAACAATATCTCCATTAAAGTTTTTGCTCTTTTTCTAACAATAACCATTCACTATTTGCAATAATTGGAGGGGGTGCAGTGGTGTAGGGTGCAGCGGAATGACAACTAGTTCAGCTCTGACCATTCAAAGCTCTGTACTCAAATTGAAGTGAACAATTAGCAAAGTGTGCAAATCCAAAGGAATAAAAAAGGAAAGCTTGCACAGACGTTAATGCCAAATTTAATTAGACAAATGCAGCAAAGTGTCCTTCAGTTTGATTCTCTGTCCACTTATCGAAAGTATATCGCCAACTGGTTGATTGGTCAGTTTTAGAGTATGCAGCATGTTTGGAAACAGATACAGAGGGATGTATAATGACACAATGGTTATAAGATCACCTAGAAGTCCACTACTATCATACAAAATTTTCATATATTAAGGGATCCTCCTTTTCAGTTAACTATTTTCCATCTTAAAAACACATGAAGTTGACAGTGAAGAACAGCACTAGTTGCTGCATTCAAGGATGCTGATACGGAGCTGTGTATTCCCCAACCTCACTGATGAGAACAGACAACATAACTACAGCTCCTTAGTCACAATGCTGTTAAATTGCACCTGAGACTATGCACAACATAAAATTATAAAGCACCTCCTCCACTCGTACCTATCTTATATTACAGTGATTCCACTAATTAGAGTGGGTGGCATTAGCATGAACTGAAAAAAGCACAAGATTATTGCCAAAGTAGAAAAATGCTATAAAAGTATTGTTGAAGGATTTGTACAGACACTGTAATAAGATTCTTCTTGCAGCACGTGGATAACATGGATCCAATCATTTTTGTCAGTGTAACATCCACGTTGGACTACAAATTACTACAGTAAATACCTATTCTGCAGGGAAAATTACACAGTTTTACTCCCTGTTATTAACACCTTTTTACAATGCCCTGTTATGTTTACTAAAAAGCTCTTTGTGAGCACTAAAGCATTACTGCTGTGATGTTTGAAGTCCCCTGTTGTTTAAAAATTTAAAAAAGATTCCAAGAATTGTCGGAGCTTCTATTTAACTGCTCGAGAGTTACTAAATCAATGTCTCTGACATAGCCACAAGTTAAATTAAACATTGCTGTACCTAAGATTAACTATGGGACTGTTTCACACCTGCTTCAGATTGAAAATGTTGATCACCATACAATGGCAACACAATTTGTTTAATCAACCCTATTATTACAAAATAATCTTCCAATGGCAAAATTAATTAATTTTTAAGGGTACTTGCAGCTCATTTAATATATTTAATAATATAATGAAAATAGCCTTTTAATGCGCTGTTTAGAGTAATCCACTGAAAAGATACGTGCAGCCTCCAACAATAATCAAAAAGCTTCACTCCACCCAGGTCAAAGCAGTCCATTCACTCGCACCTCACCCACTATGTTCAACGTGTGATCCTTCTCCCACCAACACAGAGCAGCAACACTGTACCACCTACAAGATGCACTCCAGTAATTTACCACAGCTCTTCAGGAAGGACCTATTCAACCCATAAGCTGCAGTGCCTAGAAAGTCAAGGGCAGCAGATGTTGGGAATGTCACCAACTGTAAATACCTTCCCAACTGGTTTGGAATGATATCATAGTTCCTTCACTATTGCTTGGTCAAGATCACAGAAGGAACTCCTTTCCTAAGAGCACTGTGGATATCACTGTGCATGTTACTGCAATGTTGGTGAAGGTGGCTCTCTTCCACTTTCAATGGCAATTGGGAGAGACAAAAAGTGCTGACCTAGCCAGCAATGTCTTTGGAAACTCTTTGTAAACCTTCGAGAGCCTCTTTATCCAATCTCCCCCAAAGCATTAGGTGTTCAACACCACAGTCTTGTACTTCTTTTAAGAACTTTATGAATTTTGCTTCTCTTGCCACGATATTTGCTAGCCACATCATTTTACATTGTTTGCCATGCACCCCATGTTCTTCTTACAAATGCAAATGTAAAAATGCAATGTTGTACCAAGCATCATTCAAGATCACAGCAGAAACAGGAACATAAAAACTGACAATAAAAGCATCTATAAATATGCCAAGAGAATAAGATTAGCAAAGTCAAATGTAGGTCCCTCACAGTGAGAAATTGTGGAAATTCAATTGCAGAACAAAGAAATGGAGAAAATTGAACACATTTTTGTTCTGTCTTCAGAGACAAGGTCATAAATAATTTCCCAGAAATGTTAATGAACCAAGGATCCAGCAACAAGGATCAATTGAAGAAAATCAGTATTAGTAAAAAGGTGCTAGAGAAATTAATGGGGTTAAAGACTGACAAATATCCAGGGCCTGATAATCTGCATCTCAGAGTACTAAGGGAAGTGGCACTGGAAATATTAGATGCATTGATGGTCATCTTTCAAAATTCTACAGACTTTGACATTTTGTACACCTTGGAAGGCGACAATGTAACCACTATTTAAAAAAGGGAAAGGAAAATAAAAACAGACCAGCTTAGCCGACAGTAGTGGGGTAAAATGCTACAGTCTGTTATAAAAGATTCGATAACAGAATTAACAGGATTGGACAACGTCAGCCTAGGTTTATATAAAGAAAATCATGCTGAAGTCGTCTTCTGGAGTTTTTGAGGATGTAATTAGTAAAATGGACAAGGGAAAAACCAGTCGATGCGTGTATTTGGATTTTCAGAAGGCTTTTGGTTAGGTTCCTGGTAGGGTGGAATTTTCCACTCTCTGGAATTGATAAGAAAAAAAAAGTGAAACAATAGGTCAAATTTGGCCCTGTTAAGCAACTCAATGACAGAGAGCCCAGAATATCAGTGTAAAAGAAAAAGTTGAAGTGTTTGCCATCATCTTGAACCAGATCTGTTGAGTGGATAAATGATCTCAGCATCCTCCTGATGTCCCCAGCATTCTCCTGATGTCCCCAGCATTACATATGCCAATCCTCAGCCAAATCAATTCACTCCACACATCAAAAAATACCAAAGGCACTGGATATTACAAAAGCAACAGGTTCTGAAAATATTTATGTTGTACAGCAAGCTTGTTTTAACCAGCACCTTATCAACCAGCAGTCTTGATAAACCGGCTAAAATTATATATCTCAAAAACTGCGATCCAATGCAACATCCGAGTATTTATGCTATGAACAAAGTAGAACAGTGATGCGTATACTCGCCGCATTATGTTTCTATTACTTGCTGTGTATTTTGACAGTGATTTTAGGAGGTGTGTTGATGTTTTTAACATAGATGTTTTTTTGAGGGATGTTGATGTCTTGAAACTTTGCAGTGATGCGGACCTCTTGATTATCCAGCATATTTGATCAACCGGCACACTCCAGGTGCAATAAGTGCCGGTTAATAACATGTTTACTATAACAACAAAGATTTGCACTGCACCCCTAGATGTAGATCTAGCCAAATGTTCCAGTGCAAATATAATGCCTGTACCAAAACTGAAAGTGAAGA